GTCGCGCCCTCCCCAGCAGCGGAGACCGCGCCACCTGGCGCCGCAACAAGGTAGGGGGGTGGGGTTGGGGGCGCTGCGTGAAGTCTCTTTCTAGTTGTGCAAACGGGAACGCCTGAAGCTGCTGAAATTTCGAGCCGGGGCAACCAGGTTTGGTGGAGGGAATCTGTTCTAGAACTCTTTTGTCTGCGCTCCTTTTTCCCCGTTCCTTTCTCTGGTCTCTGCTGGGCTCTGGGAGCCTGGTTTGGGAGTTGGTGCCGGGTGATTTCAAGCTTGTGGATGGCAGCACGCCCCGCAGTGGGGTGAGCCTGTGTGAGAACTTGTGTAGGTGCGGGCTGGGCTGTGAGGACTCGGGAAATCAGAGGTCGGTCGGAATCCATGTCGCCCTGGGGTCGAGGGTCTGAGTCCAGCTGTTTCAGGGACTTGAGTGAGTGGCGCCTGGCGCGAGTCCCGCCCGCGCCACCCTATCAGGTGGAGGCCGTCCTGAGATTCAAGCTGGTGGGTGCTCCCAAGTTCTCATGGACCCAAACACGCCGTCCCCAGGACCCCTCTCCAGGACGCTGCTCACCAAAATCCCTTGCTGCCACCCTCCGGAGCCCCTCCCAGCTCGGCTGACCCTAGTTTGGGGGTTCCACACTTAGAACTTTTCAAAAAGTTTGGCAGACGGGAGCCCTGGAATCTGGGGCAGCCGGGAGAGCCGAGGTCGCCGGTGTCCGCAGCTTGTTTTGGGCGCACTGCCTGGCTCCCTCGGTTCGGCCTCGCTTCCTGTTCCCCTAGCACCCCTCGGTGGTAATGCCGATCCGTAGTAATCCCAACCGGGAAGCTCCAGGCTGCAGGTCTAAGGCGACGCCACCTTTGCCCGCTTCCAAAAGCTCACAAGAGAGGACTACTCCGATCTCTATCCCAATGTAGAAGTAGTTATATTTTTAAAGGTACATTTTTCTTTAAAACCCTCACCCTATAGATATTCATTCCAATATATTCATATCGATGGATTTTACATGTGAAATTTAAGCAGTTTCTCTTATTGTTTAGTGATAAAGGTTATAATTAGAACACTGCCTGATAAATTCGTCAGGTGAACATGATTCTGATGAATAAATTAGCTGTAGTAAAAGGCAGAAGACGGGAAATCAGGCAAGCTTGCTTGCAAAAACATTTCTACTGTTAAGAAGAGGTTGGATTAAATTATCTTTATTGTTCCTTCCAAATGTAAAATGCTGGACACACCTCTTGACTTGAGATAGCAATCAAATATAAGAAAATTCTTTAAAATTATTTTAAAGTGGGGATTATCACCTCACGTTTTCCCAAGGAAAGAATCTTATTAGGATTCCAAATCTTTGTTAAGTATACAGTGGGGCCCTGACTTACGAGTGTCCCAACTAATGAGTTTTTCGAGATACAACCCGTCTCTCCGCCGATTTTTTGCTTTGAGTTTCGAGCTAAAATTAGGGTTACAAGCCAGCTTCAGATACCCCACCGCTAGTTGGCGCAGCGAACGTCAGAGTGAACGCCATAACATCAGCCCAGCATCACGTGTCTCACTCATTCACTTCTTGATTTGACATACGAGTAATTTGAGTTATGAGCTCCGTCACGGAACGAATTAAACTCGTAAGTCAAGGCCCCACTGTAATTAATTTAATGGTCCTTTTTAAAATATATATATCTTATTGATTTTTTACAGAGAGGAAAGGAGAGGGATAGAGAGTTAGAAACATCGATGAGAGAGAAGCATCAATCAGCTGCCTCCTGCACATCCCCCACTGGGGATGTGCCTACAACCAAGGTACATGCCCTTGACTGGAATCTAACCTGGGACCCTTCAGTCCCCAGGTCGACGCTCTATCCAGTGAGCCAAAACAGCTAGGGCTCTTAATGGTCCTTAACTCCATCTCTGGGTACTTTCATTCAGAAGTGTCAGTTCTCTAGCAAAATATGAAATTATGAATTGCTTATTATGTATAATATTTTCTATTTGGAAAATATTTTCCACATCTGACATTAATATTTATTTAAATGCATTGTGTATTTGTGAGTAAAAAAGCTAAACCTTTAAAAGATTAAAAGCAAGAAAAAAATTGTTGCCTGGCCAGCATGGCTCAGTGTTGAGCGTCGACCTATGAACCAGGAGATCACGGTTTGATTCCGTGGTCAGTGAGGGGTGTGCAGGAGGCATCAATGATTCCCTCTCATTATTGATGTTTCTATTTCTCTCCTCTCCCTCTCTGAAATCAATAAAAAAATACTTTAAAAAATTGTCTTATCTAGTAGACATCCTCAGTTAGTGGAGATAAATGAAAAAGATAAAACTAAAATCTAATAATTCATTAATAGAAAAAAACACATCCATAAGAACTAGAGGGCACTGTTTGAAGCTTAAAAGAAATAGTTTAAGAACATGTTAAAGATAACATTGCATAGTAGATTGCAAGCATCAGTAAACCCATAGCCTCAAGAGATTCATGTGGAAAGACACTGACACCCATATAAAGAAATGTATAGACCAGTGGTTCTCAACCTTGGCTGCACATGAGAATCACCTGGGAATCTTTTTAAAATCCTGATTTCTGGGCCTCATCCTCCGGAAATT